AAGAGTTTTAAAGGTTGACTGTAAAGAAAAGAGATATTATGCACTTGTCTCTTTTCTAGTGTACTGAAGTTACTTTGTATGTCCAACATATTTGAGTATCAGAGTACTGAACAGGTTAATTAGTCTGTCATATGGTCCTCGGCTGTAAGGGAAGCTTAATTTTTATTTGTGTTGGACAGCATGTGTTTTCCCAATGATTAAGTATGTTCTATTCAGAGCAGAAGGCTGTGAGGTTTGAATTTGTTAGAACCTGCAAGAGTCTATTTAGAGTCACCTGAGCTGCCCATTCCACCTCACCCACAGAACAGGGCTGGATAATGAGACTAGAAGGACTGTTTATTTTGCACTTTTTAAATTTTTTTTTTTTTAAGTTAAGCATTGAGGTACCAAGCTTGGAAGTGCAGGCGGAAAACCCTTGCGTTAGGTTCATATCTGTCATTTCCCAGAAAGCATTTTGTCCTTTACTATATTAGTTTTAATGAAACAGTGATGCAGGGACTGACAATTTGGGTGATACTTTAAAAACCCCCAATCATTGATTTTTGGATTGCAATAAAGTGCAAGATCAGTAAGGAGAATTGTCCAATGTACCTTTGTGCCTGACCCATTAAGTTAAGATTTGTGACAGTTAGCATTGTCATAATGATAAGGTGTATAATCACTTCTTTTGTGCAGTATTTTTCATCTTAATCATCATGAACACAGGGCATCAAACTTTAAGCACATGAAAAAAGCAGGTCTCTCTGAGGGCTTTAATAAATTTGCTTGTATTTTGGCCTGGTGAATTGAAAATTTTATTTTATTTTAATGACCGGGATCATCTATCTGTACTACCACAGTGCTCAGGCTCCTTGTGTTGCTTTTAATTAATCTTCCCCCTTCCCAATAAGAGGGGCAAAGATTTTGTACAGGTTTTCTTTACAGAGTACTTTATTTTGTTTGTTCCTCTGCCTTCCCAAAAAATCAGATGCCATTTGTTTTTTCCGTATATTTCAGCACAAAATCAAAGGGCAAATTACCTTACCAGAGGGGACCTCTCTGCCAGTGCTGTTTATTATTAAATAGCCATGTTTTTTCTGCTGCGTGGTTGTGGTCAATTCCTACAGCCTGCTTTTATTTATTTATTTTAGTTACCTACAAGCCCACTGCTTTAGCAATTTAATCTAGTTCAGAACTCAAAATCAGCGAGAGTAAAAAAGGGTTTATTTTATTTAGTGAGGTAATCCCATGTTCTTGTTTGTATGATGTTTAGAATGGTAGTATGATACTAAACTTGATAGTACCAGGTTTGTGCCAAGCGTTTAACTATTTCAGTTGCTCAGGTTTGGTTTATGATTTAATATTAAACAAGTAAAGATTACCAGAATGTGGTTTATCTTGGCACCATAAAGCTCTGACATTCACTGGGAACCTTTGTGCTTCCTGAAAGCAGGTGTTCAAGTTGTCACCATGAAAATAAAGATGCTTTTTCCACTTGTGAGAACATTAAGTTTAACTACAGCACTGGGAGAGAACGGGAGGAGAGGGATGAACCTTTCTGGTATTTTAATTTTCACCGAAGTATTATGGAATTCTGTTCCTGTTTGTCTATTCTCGGTGCACTCGCAAAAATGAATTGCAATGACATTGTCTTGAAGTGCAGGCTAGGGAAGGTATTTGAAGTTCTGGTGCCAGCTGCGAAGGACAGTACAATGTTGGAACAGTCCAGGAAATACCCATCGCAACTGATGAACTGCCCTTGTGTTCGGTATCTAGTGCAGCATCTGTAGTCTGTAGTAAAACATAGGTTTAAGAGGTGATTCCTCTCTGTGTGAGATGAGTGTTTAGGTGGGTGGGATGAATGGCCCTCTTCAGGTGGGTGTCTCTCTCCTCTCTCTATCCCGGTTACTTTAGTCAAGACACTTACATTTTAGACGAGACAAATCTTACTCTTGTTATAGATGAGGTGGGTTTTTTTTCTGAGGAAAAAAAAAGTACTGCAGAAGGGTGAATTCTGAGGCATCCAAGTGAAATTCTTTTCTGGAAAATGACCTGGGGGAAACCTTGTTTTTTGAGGTGTCTCCTTGAATAACTGCAAGGACAAATGTATCAAATAAGAAGGTATCCTGGCCAGCCGATTTACAGTTCGTCTCTTCTGTCTCATGAAATACTCAGTTTTGCTGAAGAAGGAAACAGAAATCTGACTAGATAGGTTTAAATGCGAAGTTATTTTGTAAATAATTTTCTCTTCTTTTTTTTTTTTTTTTTTTTTTTTTTTTCAGAACAGTGATATGCTTGCTTGCCATAATTACTGGCACTGGGCTTTATACTTTATTGAAAAGGTAAGAAATGTTTTCATGTAGGTATTTTATGGTCCAGATAGGTCATTCAATTTAATATGCTATTTAATAGACATTCACACTATTTAATAGACAGACCTAACATTTATAGAGTTGTTTTCGGCTATTTAAAGGGATGTTTTTATAAAATAGGACAATGCCATTTTTACAAGCTAGTCCTTTATTACAATTATTTTGAGAAGTTTTAATTACACTGGTCAAAGTTCCAGGATCTTTGTTAGAATGTTGAGAAATTGCTGTGAGATTATTGCACGTTTGAAGATCAAATAGTCTCACTAAGTAGACTTGGCACAGTTATTTGGTAGAAAGATGAACTTGACTCTCTAACTTTTAGACAAAAATTAGACAAAATTCTCTTCAAATTCAATACTAATTTGCAGGCCCAATAATTTGCTGATGATAAGAAAGAGGCAGTAAGCTCTAAATTTGGTTGGCAGTGTTATTCATTATTAATGTTACTAATTCTTATTGTTGAAACCCTTTAAAAACAGTTGCAGTTTTACCCAACCTGTCAGGTTGCAATGTGGAATTTCCTTGGATTTAATAATGCTTAGCACTTGCGGGGTTCAGTTCAATAGGGAGACAAATGTGATATCATTGATAAGGCAGCGTACTTCGGTCAGAAAGCACAGTGACTTGCTTGTGTTCAGTATTATTAACATAGAAGGAGTGTAATTCTTGATCATAGTCTAACAGCTTGTTTATTTTGCCACCTTCTTTCTATACGACTTCTTTGTAGCCTGCTCAAAATTATTTTTCTTCCTACCTTTTTGCATACACTGTGGGATGCCCTAATTTTTGCAAAAATCCCTGAAAGGAACATAAGAATGAGAGGTAATATCTTGTCTTTCTCCTTCACGTGAACTTAGACCAGTATTGGTACCTATTATTAAATGAATCCTAAACATACTGATCATTTTGCCTAGTAAATCCTAGTTTATCTTAGACTCCATTCTTTCTTCTAATACCTCAAGGTTTCTTTGACTCGGTTGGTTTTGATCAAGTCAGGAGGCAGTTGTGAAGTAATATTATGACATCTCTTAATTGTGTGTACATCTTTGGTTACTACCAGTCACTTCTGGTTACTGTGTCTGAATGTTAATCACGCAATCCTCATTTGCTTTTACAGGGGGAATATGAGGCTGCTTTGACAATTTATGACAATCATGTGAGTAGGAGCCTTTTTTTCTTTACAGAGAACGTGCGTAAGACCATGATACGTGCTTTCTTCCTTCTGTATGAGATTGAAACCTGTCACAGTGTGCCATATATGTATATATGTTATTTACATCTGTTGTTCCAGTTTTTTAGGGAAATTGTTTCTCAACAGTTTTGGGTAAAATGCCCAAAAGACTTGCGTGTTACATAGTTCAAGTTTTTCTTATGCTTGTGCTTGAAAGAGCTACAACGGCACTGTTGGTAGTTTTCCATTCTGTCTGTGTTTCTTAATCATGCTTTTTAAAAGGATGTAAAATAATTTTCCTGTGGAGTCAAGTTACCTGTACAAAGAACTGATTTTGCATGTTGGGTACTAAGTCAACAGAAGCATGTCTTTTCGTTCCTAGTTAATTTATTATAGTTCTTTACTGCCTGGATTTCAAAACATTCTTTGTAAATAAGCAGTATCAAATTAGATAGGATAACACAGCTTTGAAAGGATTATAAAAATAATACAAGCATTGAGAAAGCTGCTGGGCAGACTCCACCTGCTAACCTAGGCAAAGTGAAGCAACATTTATGGCACTATTTTTGAAAAAAAAAAAAAAAACCAACACGTTGGTGACTCTCCATACTTACTGCATATGCATAACAGGAAAACCAAGACAACTGAAGCAATGTAAGTGTTTGTCGTTGCAAATTGCTGTATTCAGGAAAGATGCAGTTAGGGCTGCTTCAAAACAGGTATTTTTGAATGAATAAAAAGATAAAATTAATTCTGTACCGTGAAAATAAGTTTGAGTATCTGAATAAGTTCCCACTAGCACATCAGTGGGGCAGCTTATGAATACCTGTGATTACAGATTGCTCCCCGGTGTCTGTCAAGTGGAAGCATGCTGGATATAGTCGATAACTCTTCGATGCTGTACAGGCTTCATCTGGAAGGTAGGATACCCACCTGGCATTCTTTTTTAAAACTGTAAGGACAACAGTTTTCTTGTTGCCTCCCCCTTCCCCTGCCTTGCATGTTGGAGAAATATTTAAATAAATTTACAGAGCAAGCATGGTCAGTGTTACAGAAGAAAATTCTGCTGTTGAGAAAAGCCTCAATGTGAAATTCGTAATGGTGTCCATAACCTTTATTCTTTCCAAGAGCTTTTTTTTTTTGTTTTCATGTCAGTATGGTATTTCATTCAGCTCAAGCTAGCATAGGTCACATATCTCTTTTTTGACAAATTCACTTCTACTGTCCCTGGAGATTTGAGGCTGAACAGTCAGGTACATAAGCCTCTAACAAGCTGTAGACATTCCTTGAAGTAAATTTCAAGTTAAGTATCTAACTTTCTGGTTTGATACTGATTGAAATAGCTAGTACATATATGTTAGCCCCTGGCTTTTGTGTATTCTCCTAACTCAGTGGCATTTCTCCTTAACTTTTTTAAGATAGTGTTTCTATACTAGAGTTCATGAAGGGGGGGGATGATGGACGGATGTTATATCCACAGTATTCTGCTAAAACACTAATGATGCATTAGGTTTGTTTATGAAATCTATATCATCACTATTTTTTTGATGGCTACAGATGGTTCATTGTGTGCATCATCTCCAAGAAGACATGAGCAATCTCCTAATAAAGCCAGAACCTCACATAATGCAATCTAGAATATTGGTGATAAACTGGTGACAGTCAGTAAACTCTGCCCAAATACAGCAGACTGCAGCTGAGCATTACTGTATAAGTTTTGCCACATCAGGGAATGTTTTCTTGAGTTGAGTAGAAATGCTGTTTATGCTGGGTGACTGAAAGTATATTGCAACGTTGTGGGTTCGTAGGTGGTATTTTTATTGAGAAAAATATTTTTTACTCTTAGGAGTAAAGCTTGAAGACAGGTGGAACAATGTTCTCCAGCTTACAAAGAAGCACACCAAAGATCACGTTCTTTTGTTCAATGATGTGCACATCTTGATGTCCTCGCTTGGAGCCAAAGACCACAAAACTACTGATGAGCTTTTAACAACTCTTCAGGAACTTGCCAAGTAAGCAAGCAAATTAAAGTATTGTATTCAATAAAGATTTTGTCCTCTGAACTTCAGGGTGATAACGTCTCTGGCTTGCTGAAGCGCTACAACATGCTCTTGCCTGCTTTAGCATGCCACTGGGACATGTCTGGTTTGAGTAGTCCAGTCTCCACTTAGGAGATCCCTATAATTATTCAGTTTTTACTTAATGTCTAGAGGGGTTTCTCATCTTGTTCAGCAGAAATCTCTTACATTGGAGGTCATGAACGCTAACTGAACAGTTGCTCTATATTTCCTTTCAATGAGTTCACCCTAAGCTATGTTACCTAAGACAAATGAAGTTTTTCACCTGTATATTAGTAAGAGCATTCTACAATAAGTGTCAGCTATCTGTGGTGGTTCTTTTTTGTTCTGGTTTAGAAGGTTCTTTCATAATAGAGCATTCGTTGGTAGTGATATTCTAGTAGCTACTGTTTGATGCATTGTGAGGTACCTCTGCAGGAAATTGAATTTCAAGTACTGCTAAAGTAATCATAGAGAATATTTTGCTTTCAAATCAAATTATTTGAAAAAAATGAATATTTAAGTATTTCATCTAAACAATGTCTTTTTTGTGTTTCCTTGTGTATGAAATACCAGTAAATTGCCTTGATTTTTTGAAGGGGGTGATACATGGATGCTTTAAATGCAATTTCTTCCCCCCCTGCACCCTGTTTTTCCTCTGTTTCAGCAGCTATTGCTTCCCTTGCCTTAAAAAAGAAGGAAGGAGAACCTGAAATTGTCACTATTTCTTCCTGACTATAATACCTATCAGTCAAAAGTAATAAAAAATAAATGCAATTTTTAAGAATACTTATGAAAACAAGTAACTGTCAAATCAAGCCTTAAGCATGTCTAATTTGGCTGAAGTAGGAAATGGTGAATATCTTATATGTAAGTATATATAAAGTATATAAAACTGCACATGCACACCACTTCAGGGAAGCTTTAATGAACATACGCTCCTTCTCCTTTCCCCGAGTGCTTCCTTTTGCCTGTGTGGTCAGCCTTTTGTAGTAATACAGCTGTACGTTTTTAGCTGTAGTTTGAAGTATTATAAAGCTTGATTTTATTATTTGAGAAAACAGACTGTGAGATGAAGGGATTATATTAATGCTTGGGTTGATTAATGGATTAATTTATGTGTATCACGACATACGTAATAGCTCAGTGATACCTAAGATGCCTTTTTTATGTGTTAAAAAAGCAGTCAGAAAACTTTGGCACCAACAACAGTCATTCTTGGCTTTTCATTAATGTTTCTCACTATCCTTTGCAATTTGAAGTTGACAAGACTTGTTTTTGTAAAGTATTCCATGGTGCGCTCTGGTGGTTGCTGTCACGTCCTTATTTTCAGGGATGGAGCTGTTAGTTAATGCGAGGGGGGTGTTGTTCTTCAGGAATCAATACTTCAGGTCAGTTGCAAGAGAAAGGAAAAAAAAAAAATCAGTCTTCCATCTCTGTGCGTTTTCTCAGAGAGCTGGAACAAACATTTAAATGAAGAATTGTTTCAGCATTTTCATTATTGATTATCTCAAACTACTTACTTAAAATGCACATCTGTTGTGCACTTCTAACTTCCCAGGATGCCGTATTTTGTTTAAGGAATGATAAACACATAGGGCAGCACTGCATACTGAAGAACCAACACTGAGCTAGTGGAAGAAGTGGGAAAGTTGTAATACTGACTCAAGGAGGAGAGCACAGAGTGTGCTCTGTGTTTGGTAAATTTAAGGTACTAGCATGGGAGTGTGACTCTCAGCTGTCGTTGCAAGCACTCAAAACAGAAGCCAGTGACTAAGGTTCCTCAATATTAAAGATTTAATTGGAAAGTTTACAGAAAAATCTGTTCTAAACAACAGAGAGAATTTATAGCATTGACCTGTGCCCTGTGTTCTCAGGAACGATTTATATTGCTTGGGACAGAAAGCCCTCCTCTCCTCATATTGCCACCCAACCTTTTGGCACTGAAATGGCACTGCTGTCAGCTGCTTCTGTAGCAGTGGAAAAACCCAATTCCACATTGTCCCCTGCAGGTATTGCCTATAGACTGAAAAGCTACAGTTTGGTTACTTGTATTTTAACTTTTTTGTTGTTTTTTTTTAATATTGGCAAAGATGCCTGCTAGAGTGTGTATGTTTTTCTGCAGGCATATTGTCATGGGTTAGGATGCAAGCACTAAAAAAGAAAAGGGAAAAAAAAAACCACCTTAAGAGCTAGCTAAAAACCATTGCTAGCTAGATCTGTTGTTTGTGGGCCTAAAAACAGTCTGTCATGGTTAGAATAAAAGAGCAGAGTTTGAGAGCGGTCATGGGGAAGACGACAGTTTATATTGCAAAGACGGTGAGGCACTGCGGCCCACTCCAGTGCTGTGTGGCGAGCTGGTTCGCAAGGTCATTATTTGGAGCCGTTTGCAAGGGACTGGTTGATTGCCACTTTTGGCAGAGATGAGGACAGTCAAAGAACTAGCAGTAGGATGTTCTGGTGAGATCATCAGAAGAGAAACTGTGCAGGTTTCTCACTCTTCTAGCCAAAACTCTTTATTGCAAAGGCAAAAGGGTTGGGCTTGTGCCTTTTGCAGATACATTCAGAAGAATGAAAGCTGATTGATGAGTACCATAACCACACTGAAAGATGTTGTCTAAATAAAGTACCTGAAACACAAGGCTTTGTGCAGTAAAAAAAAAAATAAATAAAAAGCACCCTCTGTCTGCAGGCAGTGACAGGCTGGCACTGAAATATGCATATTTATAATTTGACTTATGGGAGTTAACCACTTTCTTGTTCTCAGAGCACCTCATGGAGACCACGAGCTTTCCCTGGCTCCTAGTTTGGGCTTGCCACTGTGCCAGGCTTTTGTCGAGTTTGAAAATGGAAACTGTGACAAAGCTGTTGACCTGCTGTACCCAATCCGTTATCAACTAATCCAACTAGGAGGCAGTAATGCTCAGGTAAAGGAGATCAAGAAAAGACTTTTTTGATGTGACTTAATCCTCTTTCAGTGGCCTCTCTTAGGCACTTACTTATATTATTAACAGCCCTTCTTTTTTAGAAAGTGAAAAACTAAACTGTGCTTGTGACTGAATCCTGTTAGCAAGCACTTATTAGCAGTGTTAGCTATTTAATTTTTCTTCTCGGTATGTTTCGTTCCTCAATGGTTTTAATAATTTGGTAAACAAAACATGTTTATATGTCTTTTATAAGACATATATGTGTCTTATAAATGTCTTATAATTTATATATTATAATTTA